TATGCCGTTGAAATAAAAATAATGGGCGTGGATTTTCGATGCCAAGACCATCTGAGAGCAACCTCCAGCGTTATTTTTAATCAATCGAAAGGATAATTATAGCCAAATATATGCGCCTGCTTGAAAAATTATCAAAAATTACTCTTTTGTGAATAATATCGCAAAGTTTTTTTTTGCTAAAGACTACAGTGAAATTTAGTGACTAAACTCAGAAGAAGTTTTTGAATATACAATATTTTAATAATAAGTTTAAATGAAATTTTCCTAACAGCGAAATTAATTCACCGTCGATGAAAAAAATATCAATTCGATAGATAGAAATGTCCTGAATGGCAAATCAAAATGATTCAAAATAGTTCGGTGCAGATGTCTTCGAGAAAAAAAAAAAAAAATTGTAGATAATAAAACTCCACAGAAAAATGATATGGAAAACGATGTTGTAGAATGTCTAGTGTTTTTTTTTTTTGTAAAAAGTTTCCAACATTTATTTACGCGTTATTCGCAGCATCTTTCCCGAGCCCTAACCCCTTTGACAGAAGTAGTCGTCCATGAACATAACACAACATAATTTGTGTTTAAACTCTATTACTATAACCCTTAGTATAAAAATTAACAGCAGTGGCAACCCTTTTGAAAGATATTTGGACAAAATAGTTTTTGAGCAATTTTTTTGGTATTAAGTTGTAAATTTTTTCATTCTACTAACGCCTTTTCAAACACCATTCGTTTGGTACCAATCTCATACCAACATAAAGTTGCTAAGTCAAAGTTTTTTTAATTAAATACCTTTCGTTTGATTTCATGGTTTAACCTCTTTTGACTAGAGATGCCGTTTTTAAATCGAAGATCGATTAATCCAGCCCTTCCGATTCGATTTTTTAGTTGCGATTCGATCCGCGAATCGATAGAAAATGTTCGAGAATCGACTTTCTATTTTTCCATATTTAATGCATATTTATCTACGGTTTGCCCTAGAAAATCTATAAAATTTTAAAGGAAGTCTTCTTGAAAATAACTCTATATAAAATTATGTGTAATACTACAACAAAAACTATACAATAATTCTAATTATGTCAAGTTGAAATAGTTCAGCTCATCGGTTAGCGTTGCTAACTTTGCGCATCGATGCTACGGGATCGATTCCCAACTGCGTGCAAGTTTTTGTAAAAATTTTGCACTCCCTAGTTACTCTTTAAATAAAAATTCGAGTGGTACATATTGTATTTTAAAGTGCAAGTTTAAGTGTGGTAGGACTTACTTATCTTTGGCGATTTTTTTCTGGACGCTCATGCACATTTTGTTCCACATAAAAAAAAAAAACAATTTATATGAAAACAGCTATCAACACCTTCGTAAAAAAAAAAAATTAAAAATTGCACTTTATTATACTCAATGCGCTACAAAACTGCATAATACAATTTTTTCTAAAAGGGGTTCTTAAGGAGAACAAATCGAGTTAGCAAAAAAAATAATAATTAAAAAACCTCCGTTTTGCAAAAATACCGGTGTACGTAAGCTTTATTGTAAAACATAAAGTTTTTTCTCTGTTTGATCAAATAACAAAAAAAAAAAAAAATCGTTTGACACGCATGTTTTAATGTATCAGATATAGTTATGGTGATAACCATATAACATGTTTATAATTAAATTAAATTTGACTTTTCAAATAGGTGGCAACGCTTTCAAACTATATTCATTCAACAACATTCTTAAGCCTCTTCCATACGTCGGGCGCTCATATTTTGATATAGGTATATTTTAATTACCTAATTTCCTTAATTCAAGCTCAATTTAATATTTAAACAGTTGGCCAACCTCCTAAATTTCATTTAAAATAAGGTCTTTTCAAAACCATTTCCATTGATGGCCATATTGTAATTGTGCAATTAACTAAAACAATTATTTGCAGTGAATTTAATATTTTAACAGATGGCAACCCTTAAAAATATTTTGAATATTCCAAAAATAGATTTCTTAACACTCTATTGTTTAAATACTTCATATAACTTGCGTATAGTTTGTTTAAATTCCACTTTTCAAACAGGTAGCAACTAGAGCTCTAGATACCCGGGTATCGAGCAATGCGAGTAGCTCGATACTCGTTCGAAACTCGTTCATTGCTCAACTGCTCAAATATTTGTTCAAAATTTTCGAGTTTTTGAACAGTTTCATAAACAAAAGAAAATTTGTAAATTGTATTTGTCAGCAGCTGCTTTCTATTTCATGTTAAATAAATTATATTATTAAATACCAATGTAACAATCTTTGCATTATATATCAATAATTTGAAAAATTTAAAAAGTTGCTACCAAAAATGTCAATATAATAAAAAAAAACATTGCTCAAATTATGCGAATTGCTCGAGCTCATGCTCGAAAATTTTCGAGTAATGAGCATTGAACAAGTGTGCGAGTACTCGCTGCTCATATACCCGCGCTGTTTGAAAATGTGCGAACAAAATCGAGAGCTCTAGTAGCAACCCTCTTCGAAATATTTTCAAACTAAAACCTTCTTAAACCTCTTTCATCTGACAACCTATCTGAATTACCTAATTCCTTTAATTCAAATTTAATTTGATTTTTTAAATTCAGTTTATATGGGAGGTGGAGCTGGGATACTATCGATAGTTTTTGAAAACTTTCGACGTCGGCGAAGCTTCACAATGTCTCTTCTCTACATCTCTACACAAAACAGTCGGCAAAAAAATTTTAAGTCATTGGAATTTTTAGCAACTATAAGCTTACACTGAGTTATAGTAAAATTTAATAAGCTATAAAGCGCTTACACAAAATTTTTATGAAAAATTCGAATTGAAAAGCTTGACATTTTAATGATTTTGTGTTTTTTTATGTTTTGTACAACTCTAGTAAACACTAAACAAACAAAAACTAATAGTCAAAACTGCCAAAAATGTTGCGATTCTATTATTTGACCAGTACTCTATTCGTTTTCTTATAATATGGTAAAATGTTAATAATTTACCTTGCCCGGATTTGAATATTCGTCTCCGTATTTGATCTCATTTCAACTTTGATAAGTATGAGTTGTCAATTTAAACGAATATCTTTTGTCTTGTTTGTTTTGTAATATTAGAAATGTATTATTACACCGTGCGACAAAAACCAAAAATTTTTAAAAACACACGAAAAAATCAATATATTCATAAAACTAGGAGCCAAATACTGCGTTTTTAATTTTTCTCTCTGACGTCCGGGGTTTTTTTTAAAGGACTTTAAATTTTCAAGGACTAACATGTTAACTACCACATCCTGGAAATTCGTCCTTCTAACTTTATTAGGTTTAGATAAAAAAAAAATTGACACTTCTCTTTATAGGATATTGATAATTACAATACATAAATTAAGATACTAGAATCGTTATTTTGGAACCATGTATGTGCTCTTAAAGAACAAACTGACTGTCTGATATATCTACGGTTTAAATACTTTAATTGTTTTGTATACAAGGGCGTATCCAGCTTTTCGTTTAGTTAGCATTTTTTTTAGTTTCACTTTTATTTCAACATATTTTGATTAAAAGAAAAATACTGATAAAAATAAAATTTTTCATAAAAACAGGGTTGAAATCTTGAAATTCCTGCCCGTAGTTTGTTGTGGACCTTCACATTGTATATAAAGGAAGTACATAACAAAATTAAAAAAATATGTGCCTTTTTTTGAAGTTCGTTTTACCTTTTTCAAGTTCAAGTGCCTTAAAAACCTACATTTCTACATTTTAGCTGTTTTGCCAGGATGTTATTCCCGGAGAGAATATCTGCCCCGGTAAATACAGGCTTCTAATGCCAAGTATAATATGTGAAATTCTAAAATTCAAAGCCGCCATAAATGTCTGCCATTATTATTTTCGAATAATAGTAACATTGAATGTTAAAATACTTACATAAATGGCAGACTTACTAAAATGCTTTCGAATTTTGGTCTAAATATTCTACCCTTGCTACCTGTGTGGTGCCGCATGGACCGCTGTTGCGCTTTGTTAGTCTCTCTTCCAAGTAGAGGAGGTATTAACGATTGACTGAACATGAGTTTTGGTAAATTAAATGTAGTCTGCTATTCATAGACTATTAGACCATTAGTAAGGATATTTGTTATAAGTATCAAATATGTTTTCTCAATGTTGTTAATCGCTTAGAAATAGCTTTTTAAATTTTTTATATACTTCTTAGAAGCGAATTCACAGTGCGTAGTGAAACCATTGTTAGCTAAACTACAAACAAGAGTTTAACTATGAATTTATATTCGCGGTCACATAGTTGACTAGTGAAATTTGTTTCCCCTGAAATAATTGTGAAAAACGACTTCATCAACCGTTTAAAGCGGGCTTGGGGTTAGCCTATTTCCAAAAAATTTCTATAGATATGGACCGAACTGTATTTGCATCGACTGATTAGAAAAATTCCAAACATAATTCTTTCGTTTATTTCAAAGAAAACGTTGCAATTTAAAACTTTGTAATTCCAAGTTAAAGGCCGACTAACGCCTCTTTTAGAAATCGGCGTCGGTTTCCTAAAATTTTTAGGAGTTCTTGCATTTTTGTTAGACTTTTCGAATGAAGCTCAAATGTATTAAATTTGAAAATAACTAAAAATAAACAAACGTCCTAGAAACGCTTGCTTGTGTATCAATATATAATAACAATTGCAACAAAATTTCATAAGCGTTATGGTATTTTATTGTAATTATATTCTATTGTAATTATTTGATATGCAAGCAAGTGTGAATTGGCGTTATCTCTGATATTTTTTTTAAAGAGAAATGAAAATTTATTTTCACAATAACGAAAAAAAAAAAACTTAAATCGATTCATTGACAAGCATAGAACTGATTCAAATTCATTATTTGAATGCTGGCTTGGACCAAGCATTTTACAAAAAAAAAGTATGGTAAACAAATATAATTTTGTAATTATAACAACAACATAATCAAACTGATTATCACACAATATTTTGAAGCATAATAAACGATATACATATGTAACTAAATAACAAAACAGCAACTTATAAGGGCAAGACATAAAGTTGGGAAGCAAACAACTGCATAAAAATATAATTTAAATAAATAAACTAGTTTAATAATCTTTGAAATTGTGTTGGAAAATTTTCAATTTTCAATACTAAAGTGAAAAATGATTTTTCCACCACTCAAACAAAGTACACTCTCAAGAAAAATAATTATCTTACGATAGCTTATTTACAAATAAGATATGCCTAAATATTTTTTAATGGCAAACTACAAATAACTATAGTACATTTGCTAACCTAATTAGAAATAACTCGTTTCTAAAAAATAGCAGGTCTTATAGGTAGATGCCCTAACTAATTTACGGCAAAAATAAAGAAACTATAAATAAACAGTTCAGCTTTTAGAAAGCACACATAGGAGCTCAAATTAAGACTACAAAAAGTTGATATGTTACATGAGTACTGTATGTCTGTATGTATGTATGTATGTATGTTTGTATATACATATGTACAAGTCCGTAATTTGCCGCTCGCTATCTAAAATCTAAAATTTTTTATAGTACTTAATTTTGCAACTCAACTCATGTGAGTGCCTCAATGCGTGTGAGCATTTTTAAAGATTGTGCCTAAAAATTAAGAATATTTACAAAAATATTTTTATGCAGCCTAAAAGTAGAATTAACAAAAAATATAGAACTTTTAACAAAAGGAAAGAAAATTACTGGGAGATAGGAATTAAACTAATTTACACATTATTCAATTGGATATACATATGTACGATTGTGTGTGAGATAAGCTAGGCTAACTAGCAACTTAAAGATTCAATTGAATTTCGTGCTTAACACTAACAAAGCACTGCTTAAAATATAGATTGCTGCTGATTTTGTTGTTGGTGTTGCAATTGTTCGTGTTGTTGCTGCTGGTTCATTTGAAACATTGACTGTGGCGATGCTCGATGTTGTTGCTGTTGCTGTTGCTGTTGCTGCATCTGATGCAAACGGTGCAAATGTGAATTGTTTTGATGCTGATGCGCATGCTCAAATTGTTGATAGCCATTATTCAAGTGGTTTTGATGAGCATGTTGCTGTTGCTGCAGTTGTTGTTGTTGTTGTTGCTGCATCTGCTGTTGTTGGGATGCATGTTGTGACTGCAAATTTGGTTGCTGTTGGGGCTGAGAGCTTGAGTTTATGGATGACAACGATGCAGAGGAGGAACTAGGCCCGATTCCAACTAACATTTGTGATTTTGAATTTCTCGTTAGTGGCTTGTGATTTTTAACGCCATCGGAGTAATGCTGCCATTGCCAGCACGATCGACAGAAATATCTAAAATACGTAATATAATGTTTATTATAAACGTATGTGTAATAGGTAAGCTAGTCGCTGCAATTAGAATTTGGAGCTAGTAAATATTTCGTCGATATATTAATTCTTTTTAAGCAGAAGTTATTCAGATAAAAAAGAATCCCTTCTGGTAGGAGTTAAGGGTTTAAAGTGCTATCAAATAACTCGCAACCTAAAGCTCTCTGAAGACAATATACACAAAGCTGTGTGGTAGATATTAACCAAAATATTTTTTCATTTAACACGTATGTCATTATGGCTGAGATATATGTATGCATGTACACTATACAGGGCGGGACAATTTACTTTGACTATGCGCGTATAGCATAGGAGGATTCTAAGCAAATTTTCCAAAGAAATCATTGGTCTAAAATCAATTTGGAGTTTGGCAAATTGCAAAAATAGGTTTCGAAGACAATTTTAAAATTTTCCCTGTTGTGCCCCCTGGTGGAAGTTTCAAGAAAAGGAAAGTGCCGAAAAGGATTCTTACCAAACAAAAAACACCTAAATCATGTTTTTATACAAAATTTAAGCGCTTTCTTACGACACTACAGCCAAATGCTAAGAAACCTATTTTCGTAATTTGGCCAACTCTAAATCGATTTTTGCGCCATAGTTTCATCGGCAAATTTTCTTAGACTTCCACGTAGAATTCTTACAGTGACGAGCAAAACTGCAACATGGTGTAACACTGTTTATTTCAGCCGCCGCTATATTTTCAAGTTCTAACGACTTTCATTCTTTTGTTGTATATTCTTGTTGGTACATCCCTACTCCCTCTCTCATAACGATTTGAAGTCAATACAACGACAATAAAAAAACCAGTAGTCAAAAATGTAAATTAAGGCAGATGTTACAGTTTTGCAATCACTCTCAGTTTTGCATTTGACAGTTATCTTTTACTTAGTTGGAAGTCAGATGACTTTTTTCTATATTGTAATTTATTGAAGAAGTGATCACCAGTAAATAACGTAGTTAATCAGGAACCATAAATGTAAATAATAGATTTACTGTGGAAAGGCGGAACCGCACGAAATGTGGCAAAAAATTTTGGAATTTGCTACTTGAAAATGTTAAGACTTAGAAAAAATATAGCCTAAGTGTTCCCAAGGACAAAAGAAGTCTGTTAAAAAATATTACGGTACGATATCTTGTGAACTTAGCAGCAAGTAGCGATGCAGCTACTATTACAGAACCGCTTAAGGTATTAAACTTTAATAGCAAATCAATAGACAGCGAGGCGAAGAATTGCCAAATCAAAAGGCATCACAAAGAAGAAAAAATCAAATTTTATCATAATACATGTGCGAGTGTGGCAGCATTTCGCTGCATCGCACGAAAACCGAACCGTTGCCTATTGGGATATGTTAGGCCGTTCAGAATGCAATAAAAAACATATTTTTAAGTTTCAATTGAAGGTTATTTGGTCTGACAAGACTAAATTAATCGCTTTCAATCAGATGGCCGGGCATTGTAGTGGATCAAAGACCCAAATTAAGCTTAAGCGCATCATGTACGGCAAACTGTGAATCACTGTGGTAGGATATTAATTGTTTGGGGTTGTATTTCAAAAATATTGTTGGTCCGTTAGTACGCATTATGTGTAAGGAACAGTATCTGTTCATGTTTCAACAAAATTTGCAAGATGTAGTCAAAAATGAGAGTTTCTGCTTAAAAATCACCCAAATACTGCATATGTTCTCAAAGACTGGATGAAAAGCAAAAATTTGCTAATTTGAAATGACCTCCACAATCCGCGGACATGAATCTCATCGAGAATTTCGAAATCAACTAAAAGCACAGCTTAACAAGTACCAAAGTCCGTAAAATCGAGTACATGAGCTGTGAAAGCAAACTAAGGTTATACCTCCAGAATTTTTACAAAGATACAAATAAGGTATGCCAAATCGCATCCAGGAACTGAAACAAGCAAAAGAGTACTGAATATTGTGTTAGTAGTTCTTTTTTCGTGAAAGTTGTTAAAAAGTTCTTAAAAATATATGAGTGCAAAACTGTAACATCTGCCTTAATTTACATTTTTGTCTGCTGGTTTTTTTATTGTTGTTGTATTGACTTCAAATCATTATGAGAGAGGGAGTAGGGATGTACCAACAAGAATATACAGCAAAAGTATGAAAGTCGTTAGAATTTGGAAAGATAGCAATGGCTGAAGTAAGAAGTGTTACACCATGTTACAGTTTTGCCCGTCACTGTATGTACTATGTGCGCTTAGTCGAAAAAATCTGCAATATAAATTGACCCGCCCTAATGCACATTGGTCAAAATAATTATTAGTACAGTGATTTGTTTTACAATATTCGCAATTTTTTGCATACTATTTTTTTTCGTTAATTTTTCACGAAAATATACATACATAGTTCCTATTTTGATAACTTTTTACAAAACTTTAAAAAATTCAAAAACTGTTCATAAAAATTTTGATTAAGAATTTTGAGAAACAAAATAAAGTAATACATAATATATAATAATAAAAGTAAATAAAATTATTGAATATTGTAAAATAAATCACTGTGCGAATAATTATTTTGACCGCGAGTTATACCGTTCAAATATTCTCCGCAAAGATATGGCTAAATTCAAGCCTGGATTGCATTTATTTTAATCGCATTGGTTGGTTGCAACATTTTTTCCTAGACTTGTGACTTCAGAAAACTACGCTGTAAAATCAATCGGCGCAAAATCTTGGTAGACAATTAACGGCACCTTTGCGAGAGATAGCTGTGCGGTCAAATGCGCATCGTGCTGTCGGCTGCATTAGACTTAGCGCCGTAGAGTGTGAAAAATTTACCGTTTTGTGAAAAGCTCTAATAATTCGAGACCGATTTTTTTTTTAAGTTTTAAACATATAGTTTTGATGTAGCACAAGAAGTGAAAACACACATTTTAAATTATTTTAAAGCATGCTGTTTCTTGACCCAAAAATTGAAATCAGACCATTCAAATGGCCTCTTCAAGAGTAATATTTTTGATTTTTTTCTTTTTTTTACCTAAAAGCTGCATGCAACGAATTTTATAAAAAAAAAAATATAATTTGAATGTGTTTTATGGCTATTCCGACAATGAAAATGAATTCCTTGATACAAGTTCATAGCATACTGTTTTCAGGTAAAAAACTTCTGTTTCTGAATGTAATTTTAAAGGTCAAGCTAATTGTTTTACTTTACTGTGAAATTTCGAGATATTAGATTTTGCCAAAAAAATAATAATTTTCCATATTATACATGGCAAAAGTACCAATTGTACTCGGATTTTACTGTATTTGTTATCTGTGATATTTTTTCTTAGGAATGAAGAAATCAGAAAAATCGTATAGAACTGCCACGCCTACTACACTAGGGGCGCAAATAATAAACGTAATCTGATTTTAATGAAACTCGGTTTGTGTCTTAGTTTTAATCAGAAAACTTAAATCTGTAAGATTGTTAAATCGGCCAACTAACACGCCCACCAGTTCTAAAAAAAACCCATTTATAAAAATCAAATTTTATTAAAATCGGAGAACATCTACCAAACCTGCTCCTTAAAGTAGAGGGCGAGGAAACTCGACACCCTATGGTAAGTTACTAATTACATGGCAAATTTCAGTGAAATCGAAACTAGATTACTATTTTTTTGTGGCACAGCTTATATGGGATCTGCCAAAGCGAAGCGTTCAGTTTTAGAAAGATAAACGCAATGCTAGCAGCTTGTGTTGGCGCATAAAGTCATTGAAAATGATTTAAATCATATAAATGACAATGAAAAATAATAAAAATCAACATAATCAAAATGAACATAGTCGCCACAGGCCTGTCCCAGTTGAATAACGCTTTATGCATATGTATGTATGTATATTAGGGTGGTCCAAAATAGGTAAAGTCGGAATTTTAATGCTCTCACCCCCTAGGATTGTTCTGTGGTTCTCTTCAGAAGACTTCAGGTAACAATATTCAATTGTTTATTTAACAATTTTTAATACTAAAGATTTTTTATTTATCCCCCAATTGCATTTTTTGGAATTTTCTTAGAGTTTTGGTGGACCTTCAAAATATAGTTACTATGAAAAAAATAGTTAAATAAATAATTGGGTATTGTTATTGCTGATATCCTGAAGATAAAAAGGGGTTTCCGATCGAAAAATATTGATTTTCAAGAATTCTATACCATTTTTACGAAAAGTGTTTTTTCCCATATAAAATACATGGAAAACTTTGAGCGCTTTGAGCGACCTCTAAATATTTTTTGATTTCAAAATATAAAGTAGGGGTATATTGTTTTCGTTATAGAACCATCCTAGAGGGTGAGGTCATGAAAATTCCGACTATACTATTTCACATGCATTTTTGGAACAAAGCATAAAAAATTTAAATTTATTAAATTTTATTAACTAATAGTTACATTAAAATTTTAAAAAAAGTTTTGTTTTGATTTTTGTGTGCCAGTGAATCGATAACAAAGCGATGTTTGCCACGCTGTTTGCTAAATGCACATACATACGTACGTTGTCACTTAAGGCGCACAAACTTTGTCGTCTGCTAAGCGTGGTATGTATGGACATATTTGGTTGAGTACCGAAAATATTGGTTGTATTTACTGTGCTAATGTTTGTTCCTTGTCACATTTTTTATTTTTAATTTTTGATTACTTAAAAATGCGAATTTTTATGATTTGTATGATTTTACGAAAGATTTATTGACCTGATTCAATAGACAGATACAGACCAGATGCATCGGTGTATGTCCGCCGATGTATCGAAAAGTAATATATCGATGTATTTTTGTCACTGACATCCCTAGATCCAACCAAACAACAGCTCAAAAAACAATTTTTATTAACAGTTTTTTCATTGAAATGTTGACATGAATTTGCTAATTCCAAATTGTACTTACCTAAAGCAGGAGAGTTCACGACAAAAGTACGGCCCGTGCTGCACACCACAGATGGAGCAGAGTGAATCTTCCAAATATGGATCTACCTGCACTTTTTTAGTGAATTTAGATGTGCGTATTTCAATGAAAGCTGCCGACACGGCCTTCATGTAGGAGCGATTGTTGTTGAAAGTAACACGTCCGGAACCAATTGGATATTTGTATTTATCGGTGTCGATACCTGAAAGAAGGAGCATATAAAATTACACTGTAGGGAAAATCTGAAGTTTGGGAATGACACAAAAAACGCTGCGATACGTAAACTTAATTTTGGGCCGTAAATTATGCATCTGTATACCGTTTTTCCAGATCAGGTCATTTCCCAAGATATTTTTATTTTTATGAAACAAATCAAGCTACTAAAGAAGAAAATGTATGGATAAATAAGCATTTTGTGAACGATGAAATGAAAATTTGCAATAATTTTTTGTATGAAATAGGAGCAAGAAATAATGTTACTCACACGCCATAGCTTACATGATTGTACTCGTACATGGCGTATGAGTAACATTTTCCAATAAGGTTTGACTTTTTTTTTCATCCGCAATGCAAACGATCGTTTCTAGTATTTACAGTATATTTTGCTTTGCTGCCTTTATGCTTAAGTGCACATTTAAGATACCTACCCTAAAATGCGCACTAGCGGCATTATTTTTAACATTTATAAGGAAACTCCTCCGATAGATGCATTCAACATACCTGCCCATTGGCGATACCTGCCTTAAAAATTGTGCAACTATTATTAACTATCAAAGAAAGTATTAGGTTTACCTGCACTGGCCCTACAATTACCTAATTTTTCAAGCTTTTATTTATTTTGCTCATCTCGCAGAACAACGAAAATGGCTATCAATTTATGTAGTTATATAGATAATTAGATACCATTCGGTAAAAATTTCGCTTTCAGTAATTTCTACGTGGTAAGTGCTCCTCCATTATTTGGTTTCATAGGGATTCGGATACCTTCCTCATTGAAGTAGTAAAGAAAATTCGCTTAAGTCCTTTTTTCGCTTAAGTGCACAAGTTTTTCGTGCAAAGAAGGATGGGCAGCTAAGCAAAATATACTGTACTCAAATAAAACCTGACGCATAATAGCTCAGTGCAAGCGATTAGGTCCAATAATAAGTGATAATTGTGTTGTACATTATCTCATAAATTTCTTAATAACGTTCGCATCCTTACCTGCATACAGAACACCATCGAAGAGGTCATCCATAATTTTCGCCAAACCCTCTGCAGTAAGTTTGCCATGCAATGCACCCACAAATACCGTCTTAGTTGGATCCAGTTTCTGTGAAGTTGATTTGACAAAGTTGGAATCAGCTATAATCCAAGGGATGACTTCAACCTTTAATATAATATTTAAAAAAATTATTTATAAACATGCGCGCAAAAATAGTTAGATGCCGACTAATTAAAAGCCTTACTTACATCTTTCGCTTTGATACGGCGTGACGAAATCTTGAAATAGTAAATGCCACCACTCTGTGAATCATCGATTTGCAAGACACAAGCTGACAACAAAGCTTTGACCTGCTTGTCCGATTCGAATATGATGTAGACATAGCCTTTTGGTTGTGCCGCCTGCTGCTCTTTGCCGGGCCATTCGACTCTGAAAGTATGCAAAAATATATTCCTCAGTATTGCTACACAAAATGCAGTGAAGTCCATCTCATGTATTTACTTGATCTGTCCGAACGGCTTGAATATTTGTATAAGCGATTGTTCGCTTATGTCCCACGGTATGCCGCCAAGAAACACTTTCGGTGAATAATTTAACATGCGATGTGAGCGCGGTGGCAACTGGCCACTCCAGGTGCAAGTGGCGTCGTAGAGTGCAGCCGAACTGCGATAAAATTTTGCTACGCGGTCCAAATGAGCATCGGCTGCTGCGGCCGATTGCGGTTGCGCTTGTGGCTGTGTCAGCCCTTTGAACTGGTTCATGCTATTGCTGTAGCCTTGCAACAATTGATTCAGCAACGGCACCTGTTGCGATTGTGCCTGCAATAGTTTGAGGGCGTTGAATGCCTGCATATTTTGCAACTTCGACAATTCCAAATCCACAGCTGTGAGCGCATCGAAATTCTGCAACTGCTGCTCATCGAACAAATTTGTGGTGAAGCCAGACATATTGTTGGCATTCCCGAGACTGCTGAGTGAGGTAGTAGATGTCTGCTGCTGCTGCTGCTGTTGCTGCTGTTGTCCGAGCGAAAACTGTTGGTCGATTTGCAGTGGTGATAGAAGATGCTGCGGCTGCTGCGAAGACAGCTGGGAGAGTTGGTGCTGGGAAGCAGAAGACGACAATTGCGACGGCAATTGCTGCTGTTGATGCAATGGAATCTGCGTCTCATTATCAGCTACAGAGAGCAAATTCTATTTTCGGAAGAAGAATGTTTATTTAATAATTAGGCGCCCATGTGTATGTAAGGCAATTAGCGCCTTCACGCAACCCGGTGCACAGTGGTGCAAACGCGAAATTTACTATTCCAAGAAGCCCACATACACCCTACAACTTTTGCTGGATTTAACATTTTTTTTAATGGAAATATAATGAAAGTCTTAAGAAGTTTAAGGCATCCACGCAACTGAGCGATTCCGTCGGAGAGGACGCAAGGACGCACACATCTGTGCGATTCTATCGCAGTGAAAAATATCATTATATAAAAAAAAAAAAATAGTTTTCAACAAAAAATTAAATTCCTAGTATTTTTAAAATAAACATGCTTTGTTTTTGGCAAGTTAATTTTTGTTTTAACCTTTTACGTTCTCAAAACACAGCAGTCTGCGATTGCGGCACCACGAAAAGAAGAACTGTGAATGTTCCAATAAATCGCTAAAGCAAAATCGTATAACTGTGTGGTTCCTCATTTAAAACTATGGTCAGCATTGTTGTAATTTTTGTAGGGACAGATTCGCACCGACAGAATCGCATGGGTGTATGGATACCTTAAAGGAGCTATTTTTTTAAATTTAATTTAAGTTTTTTAAGGAAAAAATATTCTTTTTTTTTAAGAGAAATGCTGAGAAAGTATCAGTTTTGAAGAAAATCGATTCTTCTGTTCCTGTTAATGAATACTAAATATGTAGGTATTTATATAACAAAAAAATGTATGAAAATAATTATGGGTTTCCCCTGAACCAGGAAAAATTGCACAATAAAATTTGAAAAGTTATAAACAAATTTTCACCGCAATTAATAATTTTTTTAATTTTTAGAAAAAGTTTAGGTATGCAGTTTAAGACCTATTAATTTTTAATGTAGTAAACTGCAAGTTTAAGTGGTTATGAAATCGCGTTGATTTTCTAAAAAAATTTTTCTGACATTTCGAGCACAGTTTACGTATTTATGCGGAAGAAAATGACTGGCACGTCAGCAAAAATATATTTTGAATATTTTTTATAGCATTTAAAATTTCTTGTTTTTTTTTGTTTTAGGCCAACCTTTTTAACTGTTTTTTGTTTTACTTTTTATTGTGCAGCATTCATTAACACGAACAGGCGATTCGATTTTCTTCAAAATTTTCACGTTCTCCGCAATTTGCATTAAACGATTTTGTACTATAAAGAAATACTAATTTTAAAAAAGAAGCTTCTTAAACCTCTTAGGAATTTAATTATATTTCAACTACAAAAAAGAAATAGAAAATAATTGTAGATGGTCAACCTTTTTGCATGGTAGATTCCGCTTCCGCACCACTGTGCGGTGTCCGGTTACATATGTATGTATGTATGTATGTATATATATTTTAAGCCGGCAATGCGTGAAAAACGGCACTTGCATATTTGCTGCCAAATACATAACTTACAATCATATCAATCAAGTTATGCTCCACATTGGATTGATTGCTGTTCTGACTTTCCGGTGAGTTGGAGCGACTGTTCGATAGACAGCCACCAATACCGCTGCCCACAAAATTATTCTGATACATTAACGGTATCGAATCAACCGATAAACCGTTGGCGCTCGATGAGTTGCTGCCATCGCTGGAATTTTAAGTTAAAGCATATTTAATTAAAATTCCGATATCAGGTATTTGGATATAAATCTTTGCATGTAGGTGTTATATTTTAATTAATTAGTTAAAAAACATATTAAAGTGAGCTTTACCTGACTAAAGGTGAATTGAGAAAAGAGCGATTGTAAATAGAGGTGGGCGTACTTGGCGATAAAGGTGCAGAACAATCGAAGCTGATGTTTCTTTGAAATACCTTAAGTGGTGTGTTATTTTGTGCAACATTTTCAAACTAAACTCAAATTCGATCCCATTTCATTAAAAAAAAAGAAGAAGAACATACAAGAAAAGAAAAAATAAACAATATATTAAAATCAAAAATTTAAATTACTTAGTTGAAGGAAAGTATTTAGCGCAGAAGGGTAGAGTTTAAAATATAATATATTTAAATGCATGAATAGTATATTTAATACCTTTTATGCAAATGCTATGGTATGAACTATTTAAAAAAAAAATATATATATAAGTACGTGCTCTTAATGTTTAAATACAAATTCCTGTGCTGTCACTTAAAATTCTAAATAAAACCTCATTTCGTATAGGAAGAAACAATGTTTTTGGCAGGGCGTGTAATTCTAAGTCCTTTCCATTACGCTTCTGGAGCATTTTTACGCCAACAATAATTTGGTGTAAGATGTTTCTAGCATACACAGATGACATTGCTACACTTGGCCTTAAGCAGGGATCACATGATTCGTACATTTGTTCAGATTTGCTTATTTTGGCAGGTGCAGGGTGGTATTGTTCGGAAATTCTTTTATTGCGCTGAGCTCAAATTTCTAAACAACATCACGCTGTGACTGCCAAAATGTACAAATCTGTACAAATGTACATATAGTGTGATCTTCGCTTTACACTCAAACGCTTTTGCGATGAAGGGCGCAACAGCAAGGTACCACCACCGAAAAATCGCTCATCGTTCGAATGAATTGAAATGCATTTAATTTATTGATATGAGTGAAAATTTGTTAATAATACTATATTGTGATTGATCGTTTTGTGACTGATCTGACTGACTGGCCATTAAAATTTAACACCGAAAGAAGGAAAACGTCTGCTGCATCGATAGTGACTAACAATTTGTCTGCTTAAAATGAAATATCTATTTATGTGAATGTACGCTCTGAAATTGCAATCAATCAAAAAAAAAAAAACATTTATCTTTCTATAAAAACTGTGTGGTTCCTTTACATGCATTATGGGCAACACTATACAAATATTTCAATGAGAGTAACTGGATTTCATTTCGTTCCGCCCTCTCACGTCTGAGAAAAATTTGAGAACTCAAAATTTCTCAATTTTAAAATAAATGAAAATTCCATAATAAAATTGTGCCTTTTAGTTTGAGGACGCTATCAACGTTTATTTGAGATGCATTCGAGAAGTAACATTTGTGATTTGAGAAAAGGACTTATTCTCAAATGCATTTCAAATTGAGATTTAACAAAAATGTTTATTGCGCAATGTTAGCCGGGGTTGGAACGAAAAATAACTCTCAGCTGCTGGTATTAATTTGGGCGCAGTCAGCAATTGGAATGCGGACACTGTCTCGAAGTTTTACAATCCTCTAATAATTCTTGTCCTTTCATAGGGCACCGCCTACTTTACCATCACTGCTTCTCATGGGCTTGGGCAGACTGCGCAAACGTTCCAATCATACGTTATCTTCAAATCTTCTTCTGGTCTTTCCAACGCAGAGGAGGCCTTACTCTTCCTCTATTACCAGCATCGCGGCCCGAGTAGAATATTTTCAGAGCAGGAGCGTTTCTGTCCATTCGAACGACATGGCCAAGTCAGCGGAGCCGCTGAATTTTAATTCGCTGCATTATGTCCATATCGTTGTAAATCTCATACAGCTCATCGTTAAATCGTTTGCAGTATTCGCTATCGCCAACGCGTAAAGGTCCGTAAATCTTTCGCAGAATCTTTCTCTCGAAAATTCCTAGAGCCGCTCCATTAGGTATTTTCATTGTCCATGCCTCCGCGCCATACACGAGCACAGGCATGATGAGTGACTTATAGAATGTGATCTTTATACGACGAGAGAGGACTTAACTTCTCAATTGCCTACTCAGTCCAAACTAGCACTTGTTGGCAACAGTGATTTCCGTTGGATTTCAAGGCTGACATTATTATTGGTGTTAATGCTTCCCAAATAAACGGAGTTGTCTAATTTTTCAAACTTGTAACTCTCAACAGTGATATGTGTGCCAGGACGCGTATGCTCTGTCTGAGTGATGACAGGAGATACTTCGTTTTGTCCTCATTGACCACCAGATCCATTCGCTTTGCTTCTCTATCTAATCCCGAAAAGGCAGAACAGACGTAGCCCTTGTTTTTACCGATAATATCGATGTCGTCGGCCTACGCCAGCAATAGTACGCTCTTGTAAAGTATTGTCTTTGAGCGGTTGAGTTCTGCGGCTCTTATTATCTTCTCCAACATCAGATTAAAGAAATCACACGAAAGGGAGTCAGTGCTTGAAATCGACAAATATATGGTGCGTGTGGATCCTATTCTCGCTATGGTGGATTTGCCAGGTCTAAAACCACACTGATAAGGTCCAATCAGTTCGTTGGCGGTGGGCTTCAGTCTTTCACACAATACACTAGATAAGACCTTGTAACCTATGCTTAGAAGGCTGATCCCGCGGTAGTTGGCGCGTATGGTGGGATCGCCTTTCTTGTGGATTGGGCAGAGCATACTTAAATTCCAGTCGTCGGGCATGCGCTCATCTGACCATATTCTGCATAAGAGCTGATGCATGCACCTTATTTGCTGATGTATGCAGCTTACTTACTCGTTTTATCGTGCTTAATATTGTGTATTTTTTCTGTATTTTGGGGACAATTTGAAAATTTCAAATGCGCAACCTGAAAATTTGGGTTGTTTGAGTTATGGCAGTCTTCCATTTATCCGATTTCCATTGCCGGCTCTGCATAAACCAATCTTTATTTGTAATTTATTTAATTGGTGTTTTACATTCACATAGATGATTTGATTCGAAATCTCATAGCTTGCGCCACAGTGGACTGTAATGAACAAATGGAGTACCATGTTTAAGTAGGATTGAGAGTGAGAGTGTGAAACTTCTCCCATAAAAAAAAGTCGGGCGCAGTTAAATGTGGTGAACGAGGTGGCCAAGGAAAATCTGAATTTTTTGAAATCAAACGTTCACCGAAAATTTCACGCAACTGGTCCTTAGTTTGCCTAGCAAATGTAATCCCGGGATTCCGGGATTAACATTCCTACTGTGTACACAACTGAAACCTGTTCCCGAGCGACCGAGCAGTCTAGTGTGCGTTCCAGTTGTGGATTGCTTAGTCCAACTGAGCAATCTTAGAAAAAAGAAACATTCAAAAGTTGGTTCGAATTTTACTTCCAACACAAAATCCAATGCATATCATTTGATTCGATTCAACAAAACTATATGTATACATATAAATATACCATTTTGAAGTGACAGCAGATGCGAACTACTTATATACTTATACATAAATGTGTAAACAAATTACATACGAAAATTTTCTAGCAAATTTAGGTGCATAAGAAATAAGTAAGCATAGATAATTCCGCAGTGCTGTGCATTAAGGTGCATGAAATACACTACGGTGAAAAACAACAATGCCGATAAGTTACAAAACCAAGATAAACGATGCCAAATATGGCATTGGTTACAACTTCCGATTACTTACAATACTACTTACCTGAAAAATATCGAAAGAATTCGCAGACAGTGTACCCGGCGAGGCCGAGGATTGCGATGAGCTCGGGGTCAATGGTGTGTAGGCGGCCATTGAAGTAGACAGCGTGTCCACATTTGTGCCCAATAGCAAAGGATTTGTAGTTGTTTTGCCAAAGCCAAGAAAATCGTTAAGAGCGATAGGCGGATCTGTAAAGAAAGGGAAGGAGAGATGCGTTTTTTCTTATAAATTTGAATGTATTTACATACGCATACATATAAACGGTTTTATAAAGACTGTTTTCGTTTTTGCTTTAAAAATTTTACTTCTTATTTAAGGCATGCATATTAGTGTTATACTAATGAAAATTTTTAGTCCAAATATAGGAATGAATATCGTTATTTGCTATTTCTTTTCCCTTTGGACACAAAGATGAAAATCACAGTCGCCCAAACAAGACTGAGCTTCATGAGGATTGGTGGAACCCCTTTCAATCAGGAAAACAAATGTTGAGATAGACTGAGAATCCGACCGCTGCACACACTAAGGAGTACGCGGGCTTTACTCAAGAGGACTGAAGATCCCTTCACAGGGACAAGATTTGACACCTTTTCAGTTCCTTTATATAGTAATTAGGGGGTTGTTACACATTATTCTCCCTAGACAGGAGATACAAATGGTTTCTTGCCAGAACTGTGGAGAGTAAATATGCCATAATATTTGCTATTGAATAGTTTGACATCTACAAATCGCCCATCTATTAGAATGGCGTCCGTTGCGCTGAAATGTCTGGAGTGTCTGCTTTATTGCCTTGGGCATTTTGTATTCGCATTTGAAAAAATAACCACTCTCAAATAGCTTCCTTATGAAGCTGCAGCTGAAATTGTGCTTTTGAATCTACTCGTACTAGAGGGCTGCATGAATGCATTCCAAACAGCTTTTGAATTATTCATATACAAAACTAATGAATGATTTTGGCTTTACATTTTATTGAATTTGAGTGAATAGCTGTTCTGATATTTGTGTCTACATCACAATATTCAAACCAAGTGAAAATAAATTGAATTGAAATAAATGACAATTTTTTGTATGAATATCCAAAAATATTTTTTCTATGCACATACTATGTACAAATATACAATGTATGTATGTATGTATTGCTGCGCTCCTATTACATACGAAAAAACTTGTTTGTAGAAAAAAACTTTTACCGAAATGAGTTTGAATAATTTGAATGTTTTCCATTCATTCATTCACATTCTTCCATTTGAAGGTAGAAAATATAAAACAAAATGAATATTCATAACTTACAAAATTCCAAACACTGAGTGTTTTGTATGTGAAGAAAAATATTCAACTCTACTGTACTCTGTTTGGCTAGAAGTTTGAATGAATTCATGCAGCCCTCTAACTCGTACGTACCATATATTTATTAGAACGTATCAGAAAAGTAGCATTTACATATGCAAATACATATCGTGTAAGAGCACTATTAGCAGCTCATACATGCGCCCACCAGTTCTTCGCAACCGAGTTTGGGCAGCTCAATCCTGAGGGGAATCGTAATTTTTGCCAGAATTTTTAGTTCAATACAAATAAAAATATATTTGCATGCAATTTCGCCTACACTTTGCTTCAAATTGTAGTCAAATAGTGGCTGGCTGATGTCTGATTGGTTGGTTGGACTAGCACCAGCGGCCACGTACACGCAAACAACCAAATAATGACAAATTATAACAAAGACAAATAATAAGTAGTAAATATCTAGTCCGCAACATTGCAAGTATGTATGTAGAAATATCGTACAAAAGCTGGACGACCACAAAAATCGTTGCAGTAGAAGTTAATTTGAAAGGCGAAGATATGTAATACTTGGAGACAGCATTGGAAGAGATCACAATTAGATATCAATATACATATGGGGTATTCACAACGGTGTCGTCAGTGTCGTATTGTTGTATGTCGTAAACTTTAAAGGTCTAAAAAATATATTAAGGAGGTTCGCAAAGTACCATCAAAGTCTTATTATGAATTTTCGCAGTGTTAAAAAATAGTTGGTTGTGGTAGCAAGTTGTCTAAACATTTATTTGAGCTTTTCAGGTTTATGACATACAACAATACGACACCGTTGTGAATCCCTCAATAGTTAGTTTATATGTTAGTAGCAATGGAATTGGTTTGTATTTCTTGCACTCGAGCACAAGCAATAATAATGCCTGTTAATGCAATGAAATATGCCCAACGATAAATCAAATTTATCTGTAGTAATTTTTATTTCTGCTACTAATAGTACATCCACACATGCATATGCACATACACATGTACACATGAATTACCCTGCAGAAAAAATTTACGAATCGATAAAAAAATAGCCCACTTGTAGTTAGCTTTTTTGCGGGATTTCTATAAAATATATAACTTGTAGTTAACTACAAAAAACTAACTTGAAACTAGTTGACAAATAATGCAGTGGTAATGCAGGAGATTGTTTTCTTTAAACGCGTTTCTATTAAATTATCCTGCACTTCGCAAATACTTTTTCGAATTGAGGACAGATAAAAGGAAAATCGAAATTTCATATTATCATTTTGAAGTTATGTCTGACGGAGTTCGAATATGGGACCACCTACAACAGAATATGTAAACAAATATGAAGTGTAAAAATAAAATAAATAAAGTTAATAAAAAAAAGTAAAAAAAAAATTTAAAAAGATATTGTTTTTTCTATTGATATTTTATGTCCTTAAGTAGTTAGTTACATCAAATGCAGACGTAACCACCCTTGCAGAGGTTAACTCCCTTGACTATTTCGCGGCCATCGCCGATAATAGTGACTTTTAGCTCCTTTTTAATCAACTTAAAGTTAGCTTATAGTTAGATACATTTCCAGCAGGGTACTCTATTGCCGATATATGTAGTTCATAAGTACCAGTGCGTTGTGCAGTTGACGCCATCCCCATTACGGCCGCTGATGTTCTTTATTGTCGTTGTCGCTGTTGTTGCTGCTGCTGCAGCTGCATTTCCCAATGTGATGATGTATTCATAAGTATGTACATATTTACATAATGCACTCGCATTAAATATAGGAAGAGTGACTTTGCCGCTATTTTGCCTTTGACATTCTGCATTTCCTTTACAGTTATGGTTTTCTGCTTTATAAGTTTTTAAGTAACTATCTAGCAAATATAATAAATTAAAATATGTATGTATGTGCTTTTCTATGTATGAATGTGCATATCATATATGTGTGTATGTATGCATATTAGACTGCATCACTCCCCATACAAAAAAAAAAATCGGTACTGTGTTTTCACTGAAATTACAAAATCTATTATATTTTAAGACTTCCACCAAAATATTTCGCAAAAATATTAACATTTACGGGCGCTGGACCGATTTGAAAATACCCCCAAAAATGCAGTTTTTTACGAATAAAAATAGTTTCTTAAAGATTTTTTTGAAAAAAAAATCCACTCAAATGACAAAACGGTTAGACCTTAAAAAATTTGGATAAAACCATAAAAAAATGTAAAAAGATTCCAATGGAATCGTGGCAATGAAATCTTTGTTGCTAATACCTTTTTCAAAGATAAGTATAAGAAAAACTTGAATATCTGGACCTAAACTATTCCAATTTAGACTTGTGAGGTGTCATTGGAAAGCTATTTGCTTTCTTTGCTAAAAAACTCATTCAAAGGATGAAAGAGAGAGGTAGGATGAACGAACGTCATTCCAAGTTGAATTAACATGTGTTGGTATTTGAAAAAAAATGTTGGGACTTGAATAAGTGTTTTCCACAGAAGCAAAAAGAGTGGGAAAATACCTTTTTACTGCGACCCCATAAATCTAAATCAGAATACTGTTGGCCCAGTTATCCAAGTTTTTCGTAAAGCAACCTTTGAAAATGCAGCATCAAATCTCATTATTACGATTCCTTTTAACAGATTTTTAAATATTTTTATGCAGGTTTTTTAAGCGTAATCTGTTTTGTCATATGAGGGGATTTTTTTTTCAAAAAGTTATTCTAGAAACTATTTTTATACCCGAGGGCACTTGTGCACAAAGGTATTATAACTTTGTTCACATAACGGTTGTTTGTAACAGGCAAAACGAATCGAGATAGATGTAGACAAATGTATACAAAAATGATCAGAATGAAAAGAGAAATCGATTAAGCGATGACTGTCCGTCCGTCCGTCTGTGCGCACGATAACTCGAGTAAAAATTGAGATATCTTAACGAAACTGGGTACGTGCACTTCTTTCTGGCGTAGGACGGATGGTATTGAAAATGGTCAAAATGGGACAATAACCACGCCTATCTCCCCTATAACGGTAATTTTCAGAAATACGAAAACTGCGATATTTTAGCAACTACCGAAGATTATTCACTCAAAATTGATATTTACAATAAGTTTTAGACGAAAAATAAGAATATTATAAATTTTTGGAAAATGGGCTTAGCCACGCCCACTTATGGTTACATGTGTATATCTCGGTAACCGTCGTACCAATTTGTACCAAACTCGGTATGGTTATTGTGCTTTCCACATGGAAGCAAAATGTTGAAAATTATTGAAATCGGAGTAAAACTTGAACTTGAACTTGAAACTTCAATATTTCGAAATTTAAGGACGCTTACCATGTAGCGGTAGCTTTCGGAAAGGTGAAAAATGTATATATTTAATACTTGCGCCGGGTATTTAATGTTCGGCTCCATCCGAACTTAGACTTTCTTACTTGTTGTTCATAAAAAACTCCAATTTCGGAGGTATTTTCAAATCGATTCAGCTCACGTAAATCTTTATATTTTTGTCCTAAATATTTTGGGTTGAAGTCTTCAAATATAATAGATTTTGTAGTCCCGGCGGAAAAACCTCAACTTTTTTTGATGATGCAGTCTAATGTATGTATATGGATGAATTTTGTAAAATTCCGTTGTCGAGCACAAGCGGGTTAAAAGACTTTATTGCAATAGGCACAACAGAGCGCAGTTGGCGCTTGCTCAGTAAAAACATTTGTCAAATAAAACATTACTCTGATATTCGCATACGGATAGGTCGCCCAAAGGCATACAACTACTCAAAAGCATGCAAATAGATATAATGAGCTACACATCTAAGTATTTCGAAGCACACATACATATGTATGTACGTACATATGTATGGGTATGTATTGGGCGTATACTGTCTAAGGCCACCTCATCTATTGCCAAATATCGCTTGGACAACTTCGAAGAGAATCTGTTTGGTTTTGAATCAGTAAATAAATGTTTATTTTAGTCAAGTCACATCTAACCACTTTAATATGCTCAAGTTCACTTATTTCATCACATTTTCAATGGCAGTGCAAACATAAACTTTTTCCGAAAGAATGCCAGACACTATATTTCTGAATTCAGTAACAAAAATTGTCCATCACGTGTTCACACAGGTTCGAGTAAGTAAGAAAAGTTTCCCGCGCCTCTGGAAAGGATGCGCAGGAGAAAATTAGACAGTTCAGCGCATTGCGATAACGCCGAAGGGTGAGCTTTTGATTAATTTACCTCCCCATAAATTATTAAAGACATAAGTGCTATCTGAACGTTTCGCCAGGTAATAAGTCAAACCAAAAAGGGTGATCGTGCTGTTTGCACAAATTACCGCCGAATAAGCCGTCTTTATATTGCGTATAATATCTTATCAGGAAATAACTACTTGGGTCTTATCATTGTGGCTTTAGGCCAAGCAAAGGCACGATTGATTAGTTTATCATATTGTTGTAAATTCTGGAAAAGACCTTATATAAAGAAATCTCCGAATACCCTCTTTATTGTCCATTTTAAATTACTTTTGACAGCTCGAAGAAAAGCTGCCTATACCATTGCATCTTCAAATTTGGAATCGCTGCAAAACTAGTACTAGTCAATCTTGGAACTTTAAGTCGAAATAATTCCCTAACGGACACATATCGTCTTGATCGGAAAAATATGCATTTTAAAATAACAAAATATCCTATCGCTCAATTTGACAGGAAATAGTTTTAATGAAATAAAAACATTTTTTTTTGTGTGGAATATGTATTCATGTAATGTATGTAACATTAGGGGGCCCGTAGAAAAAAATAAGATCCTACCACTAAGTTTTTTTTCTTTTTATGAGAAATAATATTTCCTATATTTATAGATTTTTTTAATGATTAAAAGCCTTGCGCACACCAACGCGAAAGCGACAGCGACGGAAATAGCGATAGAGATAGCGGTAGAAATCGAACGCAACACGTAGAGCGTTCGATTTCCATCGCTATCTCTATCGCTGTCGCTATCGCGTTGGTGTGTGCCAGGTCTAAGGGCTGGTTTCTCCAACTAAACTTAACTTAGTTTAGCCACTTTTTGGACTTAAGTCAAAAGTTAGCCTACGTTTTACACAGCTTATTCATGACTAAGTCAAGAAAATTGGCTTAACTAAGTTAAGTTGAGATGGAGAAACCAGCCCTAAGAGTTCACGATCTGTCATTTTAGGGCAGAAAATATAGTTTTGTAGATTCATCAGTTTTTAAATTACTATTTTTCATTCGATTTTAAAAATCGAATATGTTCTGAAAAGAGGATTAGTAGTACATTCCACTTCAATTATGTGGAGAATTTCTTCCACTGCAAAACGACATTTGGTCCGTCTGGATCCGATGAACAAGGATTGTCAGTGATATTAGTAGCGATGCGCTAATTAATTGCCAATAGTTTTTATTTAATCGAATAAAGACACAGCCCAACAAAATTCCAACAACTGCATGCGGCACAGTGGTTCTTATATAATTTTTTCGTAGAATCAGAATCTGGCCTTCAAATTATTTAATTGGCTTTAGTTTTTGAGATATGTCGAAAATAGAATTTTCTTTTGGGTTTTTTGATACTTTTGATCCCAAATAGAAGCAGAGCTTTTCTCATGGACTCGGCGTCAAAGAAACCAAAAACCTACCGTCTTAAAAAAGCTTCAAAAATAATTCCTCAATTTTATTCAGAAGATTAGTTGTAAAATTCAGCAGCGTCATGAAGCTCAAAAATTAAATAGAAAATTCAAAATCAAAAATTGCTTTGCTTGCATCTCCAAAACGCTTCTGAAAAATCTTCCTGTATGAACACTTTCATATAGCTACAGCAAGTTGAAAGCTTCACTCAGCTTGGAACGGCTTCGCTCGGCTCGGCTCCGCTTTCTGTGTGAACGTACCCTTACAGCTGTACAAATCATTGGACTAATTGGTTAACTGACTGTTACAACGGCCTAGCGGCCGTTTTCCTCGACAATTCAATTACTGCAAGAATTTGAAGTCTATTAAAGAAAATTTCATTTAAATTCAAAAATGGTTCCAAATACAATTTTGTACGTAAAAAGTTTGTTATTTATATGGTCGCGTGGTTTTTTTGGGCATTATTTCTTAAATACTGAAATTGAACTTCATTAGTGTGACTAAGCGGGTTGTAGAATCGCCACCATTTTGAAAGCAATTCTTAAACTCCATGCAAATGACCATTTTAGGACCTCAACTAAACCAACACAGTATCACATGTGCCCCATCAGCTTTGGTGCAAAAAGCACCATGTCATTCCTCCAAAGCATTTGTGGTCCTAGGCATGTTACTCAAAGCTGCGTCATAGTGATTCCATAATTTAGTTGGATACTCCGAATTCTTCTGCCGACCATTTCACGAAAACTAACTAACAACCCGAAAATGAGTCGAATCACGCTGTGGACAATAGTGTTGCTGCAGGCTCGAATGGGTTATGTAACATATCACCAGTTCAGAGTGAAAATTTTTTTGAGTTTTTAGACATTAACGAAACTTGTTTGCATTCTTTAGAAATTATCGGATTTTTAGTTCTTTTATTAGACTCAGTAAATTTTCGTTTCACTCGACAGAAAGGGTCAGGCTTAAAATAAGTAATTTTAATTTTTTGGCAAAGGTTGAATTTTTCATTTTCCTTGCTTCCTGTATTAAAATGTAAGTTTTCATAAAATATCGACTTAGTAACTTTTCACTCTAAACAAGTGATATACCCCTAGCCAGTGTTTTTTTTTTTTGAGATTGATAGAGCAAGCTCATATACCCACATACACTCAGAAAAAAGTCAGCCAAATATATTTCTACCAACACATGATTTGGTAACTATAACCAAATAATGTGACTATAACTAAATCATGTGTTGAGAAAAACATATTTAGTTGACGTAACTAAACTCTTTTCTCAGTGTATTCTCTTCAAACTTACCATTTAAAGGTGATATTAGCTCATCATTGGTCTCATTTCGCCTACTCAAAAAATCTTGACGCTGTTCCAGCAACGAATTAATTGAGTGTTTTGTTAAAATATCAGCACCAGCACTTGATAAAGACCTCATATTGGCTGCTATTGAGTCATGCGCACCAAACTGAAAGAAAAAAAAAATAAATATGAAAGGTTATTTTTTGTATTCTGTGTAATCATTTATATGTTGTGAATAAAGGAATCAGAACTAAAATTTGAGAAAACTTTCCATTTTACATTTTATATTGTCTGTAATGTGTAAATGTGTGCATTTGTATGCCATGTCGTATACGTGACATTGCAAATCTGAGCGCATAAAAATACTAGACACAGGAGCCTACTTATTATGCAACTTGGCAGTAACAGACTTGGCACGGTCGAAGTAATTGCAGTTGACGCGTTTGAAAAACCGCAACAATTTGAAACTAATGAATCGCTTACTTTTCTCATGAATTCTCGAAATCCACTCAGTGACGCGCGTCCACTTCAAAGGCCATCGAAGTGCACTGAACATCGACGAAGAGCATACAAACTATCGCAGACGAATGCTCACTCATTGATACATACATACATACGTACTAGATGTATGTGTGTATAACAGTAGCAACAAATCATTTTGTCATCGCGATGCAATGGAGGTATTTCCCAGTAACTCCACGAACGCAATAAAAACCAAAACCGAACGATGGGCAACAGCACGCGCACACTAACGGCCAAACATTGCCGCATACGACTGCAGCCAACCACAAGCAGGCAAGCAACAACATCGAAAACGATAGTTATCAAGGCCGTGCACTTGCACACCCACTGTTTGGGGGAGGGGCGGAAAATTGCAACAATTACAATTAATGTGAGCAAAAAACCGGCGATCAACCTCAAACTCGTCCTTATGCAACAGCATTGCCAGGCAGGCGCTTACAGAGAGCAGCAACAGTGTTGATGGCAACATTGTAAGTTAGTTAGTAATAGCAACAATAGAAACACCAACACTTTTCCAAATCGAATAGTGAGTGTGCACTTGAGCGTTTGGCGCAATTAAAAGCGCATCAAGTGTCTGTAGAGTACCATTAAACTGCCAAATTAGTGCAAACATTGTTATCAGGCACTCACCAAACAATTTGGCAAAAATGGCGTACAACTCATTACGCCAGATTAACGAAAATTATGGCAACAAGTGAATGCCACCCATGGAAGTACACATGCATACATCACCATGCATTCAGTAAGAAACGGAAAGCTAGCGTTACATCTACTTATATACAGTATTGGTCAATGCAATAGCACCACCACAATGTGATATTGTTTGCCAGTTATGGTTAGATATTTATTTTTAGGATTTTCAATTAAAGTACAGTTCGTTCTCTAACAAAACTCATATAAACCCAAGTTTAAAAGTTTTAAAAGACTACAAAAAAAAGCAAACAATTTTCACGCAAATTTCAAACTTTTTTCTCAGAAATGTTAGAATTTTTCCGAGAGGACAGTTTTATAGCCCATTCAATTTTATTCTAATGATACGCAAGTTTCAAGTAGCTAAAAATTATCGTTAATTTTTTAGAATTTTTTCGCCGAAGGTGTTAATTTTTTAGATTTTTTTTAGCCGATGGTGTTGCGACAAAAAAAATTCTAAAAATCAACGGTAGATTTTAGCCACTTTAAACTTGCACATTATCAGACTAAAATTGAATAGGCTATAAAACTGTGTACTCGAAACAATTCTGAGAAAAAAATTCGAAATTTTGATGAAAATTTGTTGCGTTTTTTATTTAGTCTTTTCAAAAAGTTTTAAACTTGGTTTTATATGAGTTTTGTTAGAGAATGAATTGTATTTTAACTGAAAATTCTTAAAAATAAATAATTAAATATAAGTGGCAAACAATATCACTTTGAAATAGGGGTGCTATAGATATGCCCAATACTGTACATACATATGTATATGTATGTAACAAGCAGGCATACTTTCGCCACACAAGCTCACACGAACAATAATTGATGTAAATAAAATGTAAAATGCAATGTAAATGCACTCGCTTAAGTTTGCAAACGCAAGACGCTTTTCAGTCACACTTACCAAACTATTTATCTAAGTTCAGATGGCACAAAGATGTTCCACAACCAGCCACGTTACGTTTGCCAACCGCAACCAGCACTCGCCGCACAGCATTACATTGACTTATGTAATAAGTATGTACTTAAGAACAAATGCGTAATTAACATAGCAAAACAAAAACAACCATCTAAGATGTACAAGTAGAGAGTGTCTTGAAAAGATGCGACCGAAGAGAACTGTAACTACAGGCTTTTCAGAAATCGTGCATTTCCTTAAGTTACAGTACAGATGTAAATACATATGTACATTTAATGCATATATACATACATACTACATACAGCTGGCAATGGGAAGGTTGATTTCAAATACGTGAAAAGTAAATGAGCAGCTATGTTTGCTTGTGTGCATCGACATCTGGACGGTTGGTAAAAGTTTGAGAATATGGTTTGTGTTGCTACAAGGCAGCTAAGCTGAGATTATTAGAGTTCTGAATGGGAAAATTATGCCAACTATTTGTCCGTTTAACAGCAATCACGAAAGGACGAAATTCGTGGGTTAAAAGTGAAATTAACTTATAAAGTAAACCCAGTGAGATAGGGTATTTGGTTTTCACTTTGCTAATATTTTCTGAAAGTATACATATCCAGTAATAAAACACTCGATGGATTTACGAAAGTTAGCTCGTATTTTTATTTTATGGCATACTAGAAAAAAATGGAAAAAATGGTAAAAATAAATGTCTGAGCTTAATTAAAGGGTAAGACATATGCAGTAAAATTTCTTGGGAAATATTTTTGTAAAACATTTTAACTCATTAGCTCCCACCTAAAAGGATCATTTTGAGCCTTACTTCAAGAAATCCCGCAAAAAGCAAATTTCGAAGATCCTTAGAGGATTGATATATTCTAGCAAATTATTCTTCGGAAAATTTTACTAGGGGTCTTTGCAGGCTACAACTTCATGCCACCAACGTAAAAGTCTATACAATTAAAATAAAAAATCGATGCCAAGAAGGAATAACAGCCAAGCTCAATTTTAACAAGTTGCTTATAAAAAAATTTTTGTTTTTGTTGATTTTTTATTTACATTTGTTAGTCTTTTACGTTGGTGGCATGAAGCTCTAGTAAAATTTTCCGACGAATAATTTTCTAGAATATATCACTCGTCCAACGAACTTCCAAATTTGCTTTTTGCGGGGTTTCTTGAAGTAAGGGTCAAAACGACCCTTTCGGACAGGAGCTAATGGGTTAAAATTTTCTACGAAAATATTTACCATGAAATTTTACTATATATGCCTTAACCCTTAATTTTGCTCAGACATTTATTTTAATAATTTTTTACATTTTGAAAACTACTTAGGCCGAGGCATACAAACTTTAGTAGGCCATAAAATAAAAATACGAGCTAACTTTTACAAATCCATCGAACGTTTTACTACTGGATGGGTATACTTTCAGAAAATGCCAACAAAGTCTGTATACCCACTCATTCTTTAGCATAGCATACATATGCACTCACTTGCAATATTTATGTTATTGATGTAGGCAGCCGCTGTGGTATAGTGGTTAGCAGTTTGCGCTACTATTCCTCAGGGCCTGGGCTCAAGCTCAGATTTCGACTAACATAAAAAAAGGGAAGAAAAAAGTTTTTCCTAATGGCGTTGACAACTCGGCAGGCAATGACAAACCTCCGAGTGCATTTCTGTCTTACAATTTACAGTAAGTGTCATTTCATCAAAGGGTTAACAATATTTCATTTCATTTCAACAACTATGGTGCCTATAAAACTCCATTCGAGGGAAGCATTGGTATTTCGCGTCCATCTGAAGAAAAGTGCAGCATAAACTCATCGGCTGCTGTGTGAAATATACTGAGAGCATGCTCCATCAATTTCAACGTATGAGTACTGGTTCGGACGTTTCGGAAGTTATGATATTTTACACAATCGAAGAGGACCACGAAGGAGGGCCAACAACGCCTGTAGACGGAAAATTAGGACGAAGACCCATGCCAAACCCGAGAAGTATAGGGGGAATGTTAGGCGTGACTCAACAAGACTTTTAATTGCGATTGAAAGCCATTGGTAAGGCCCAGAAAGTCGGAAACTGGACGCCTCATGAACTCAAACTAAGAGATATTGAACGGCGTGTCACCACCACCCAGCCAAATATCTATGTCAGCAAGGTAATACTTTGCATTTGGTAGGGCCAGAAGGGAATTCTGTACGATGAGCTCTTAGAAGTGGTCAAAAGATCGATGGGGCTCTCTGCAGACCACAACGGATGCGATTGGAGCGAGTGATTGACGAAAAATGACAGGAATGGGCAATAAGACATTGATCTTCCATCATGACAATGTTCGGCGGCATGTTGCACAAGTGGTCAAAACTTATCTCTTAATGTTACCGGATGGGAAGTCCAAACCCACCCGACTCATAGCTCAGATCTTGCGCCATTAGACTACTATTCATTCCGCTCGATCGAGAATGCCCTTACGGGAATACGCTTCACTTCAGTTGTACGTATCAAAAATTGGCATGGTACTTTCTTGGTCTCCAAAGGCGAGCAGTTTTATGGGCGAAATCCATGCCTGGTCAGAAAAGTGGGGAAAAGTCATAGCTAGCGATCGACAATAAATACTTTAAATAAATAAAATATTTTCATTTAAGAATCTTCTATCTAGTACCATTAATATTAAGTTCAGACAGAAATTTAATTGAGTTAATGAAACTTTTAATTGAGCAACCGCTTTGTGGTGTTTACACAGAGTCAGCTGCCCCATTAGCTACAGTGATGGTAAAGTTGGTACAATCGTACCTTTATTTAGTTTGAAAGTACATACATTCGATATAAACACATAATTTTAGGTACATTTGGAACGTAATTAAATAACTTTTCAGGAAATCAGTTGTTATTTTTATTCACATTTCGACTCATTTTCCGATAGGGGTAACTTATCTAGTAGCCTCCCTCCTTTGTGAAGGGGCATACAAATTATACAAAAGAATGGTCAAAGTAACGCAACTGTAGTTGATGGACAGAGAATATATCAAATCGGATGAAATTGATTCTTTTT